CTCGAACTCCTGACCTCAGGTGATCTGCCTGCCTTGGCCTCCCAAAGTGCTGGGATTCCAGGTGTGAGCCACTGGGCCTGGCCACCATAACTATTGAATGCACATCCTAGCCACATTTTAACACAAAGCTTAAGCTGAATCTTGTTTATATAGTTTTAACTTAGTCAGTCCAAGCCTTCTTAATCCATTCCTTCCTCTGAATTTTCATAGTACTTATTCATATTCCTTATTTGGCAGGTGCAGTATTTTACTCGTTAAAGCTACCAATTATCCATCTTGTGTTTGTGTTGACCTCCGACATTGATAAGCCTTTTGTGTGTATGTATGTCCTGTCCTCTCCAAGTATGTTGGAAGCTCTTTCAAGTGAAGTCATAGACTTATTTCTTTAGTATATTCTATAGTGAGATTTTATATTTGATAAGTTGATGAGTAAATAAAAGTGATTGAGATAGACTGGTAATGGATAAACAGGGTATGTGAATATATTCACTCCATCCGTTTATTCATTCTACAAATATCCATTGCGTACATATGTGTTAGATTGAAAAACATGTCACAGTATTTTGTGGCTCCTCCTATTGATTGGTAGAATCCATTTCCTCACACTTTTTTGTTTGTTTGTTTGTTTGTTTGTTTTGTTTTTGAGACAAGAGTCTCACTGTGTCGCCCAGACTGGAGTGCAGTGGTGTGATCTCAGCTCACCACAACCTCTGCCTCCCAGGCTCAAGTGATTCTCCTGCCTCAGCCTCTCGAGTAGCTGGGATTACAGGTGCGCACCACCACGCCTGGCTAGTTTTTGGTAGAGATGGGGTTTCACCATGTGGACCAGGCTGGTCTCGAACTCCTGACCTCAGGTGATCCACCTGCCTTGCCCTCCCAAAGTGCTGGGATTACAGGCATGAGCCACCGCCCCCGGCTTCCTCACACTTTCAATGTGGACTGGCCTTGTGACTTGCTTTTACCAATAGATTATGGCAGAAGTAACATGCAAGTTGTGGATCTCAGGCCTCAGGAGGCCTGGTAGCCTCCCCCTTTGCCATCTTGGAGTGCTCCAGCCACTACATGATGAACTCTAGGCTATGCCACTGAATGGTTACAGATCGTGTGTGGAGAGAGGCCCAGCCAAAAGCCAGCACCAGAGTCCCAGACATGTGAGTGACACCACTGTAGAGCCTTCAGCTGCAGTAAAAATGCCAAATGACTCAGCTGCATGAATAATCCCAGGAAAGGCTAGCACAGGATCTTCCCAGCTGAGCCCAGCCACCTCGTAGACTTATAAGAAATATTAATTCATGATTGTTTTAAGCTACTAAGTATAAATGGTCAGACTTTTAATTTCTTACAAAGAAGTCTACAGTAGACTAAAAAAGTTGTCAGAGCTTATGGTTGATTCTGTTCTTCTTTCCATCCCGCGTTGTTAATAGTTCTTTACTGATAGTGTGTGTAAGTGCCACAGGTAAATATGGTAATTAAGGGGCTGGAGATAGGTGCTATTTTTTTTTTTAAAGGCTCTGTGCATTTCCTTTTCCGTTCCTAATTTTATTTGATGCATGCTAGAGCTGGTATTCTCCACAGTGCCACTCAGGATTCAAGACCAGAGGCCAAAATTCCCAACTTGATGCCTCTTTTCATTACATCAAGATGTCTTTTTTTATTGTGTTTTCCTTCCTTTTTGTTGAAGTTGGTATTTTTAAACTTCTTCCTGTTGGCCTGCAGCAGAGTTGGCCTATTGTTCTGGTTCCTCCGATAATTTCTACTTTCCAGGGTACTATAAAGGAGCAAGACTAGGACAATTGTCTTGACTTTTTATTGTTTTGTCCCTGTGGACCAAGATGATGTGACAGGAAAAGGTTGAGATGCTTGGAACCTAACTACTGTAGTGGGGGCATAGAATGTTGGTGTTGGGGAATGAAAGGGGTTTGGGTTTGGGAAGAGTTGGACCATTTTTTTAGAAATATCTGAAATGTGTCCCTTTTCTCAGGTGACTGATACAGTGACATTTAATGTGTTCAGTAGCCTTCATAGTAGATCTTGCTAAAGGAGAAAACTTTTCCTGATGAAGAATAAAGATGTTTTGCTATTGTCACCTCCTCTACTGTTTCTTCTGTATCATTTTAATGTCTCTCATGTTCTTTAGGAAAATGTATGAAAATTGAACTTTTTTTTGGACTCAGAAATAGTGTTACCTTCTGAATAATCTCTGATGTGAACACTGCTGTAAGATAATTCTCTGTAACACTACTCTTTTGAACATTGATTATAGAACCGACTGCAGGGATTGTAAACGGTAGTTCATGATCTCACTAAGGGCAGGCAAGGGCTGAGTCCTGTTTTTTTTTTTTGTATCCTAGTGCCTCCCATTATGTCTTAAATATAATAGACCTGATTTTTACTTAGCTCAGCCATAAGTGACCACTGGTTATGGTTAACTTGAGACCTAGGTTTCCTTAATCTACCTTTCCCTCATGGAGAGCCTGGGCAGGATATGGGTGGATGGAAGAGAGTTTTACTTCCTCCTCCAGCTCCATCAGCTCTTCCTCCTCCTCCAATTTCTCTAACTTCACCTCTTTCTCCTCCTTTTTCTCCTTCTCCAACTCCCTCAACTCCTCTTCCTCTTTTCCCTCTCCAACTTCTCTAATTCCTCCTCTTCCTCTTCCTTCCACTTTTCCTCCAGGTCCTTCTCCTCCTCTTTCAATTCTTCCAAATCCTCCTCCTCCAACTCCTCCAATTTCTCCTTCTCCAGTTACTCTTCCTCCTGTAACTCCTCCTCCTCATGCTCCACTTCCTCTTGTAACTCCTCCTCCTCCTCCAGTTCCTCTTCCTCCTGTAACTCCTCCTTCGTCTCATGTTCCTCTTTCTCCTGTAACTCCTCCTCCAGCTCCTCTTCGACCTGTAACTCCTTCTCATCCTCTTCCTCCTGCAACCCCTCCAACTCCTCCTTCTCCAGTTCCTCTTCTTCCTCCTTCTGTAACTCTTCCTCCTCCTTATCCTCTTCCTCCTGTAACTCCTCCAACTCCTCCTCCAGTTCCTCTTCCACCTGTAACTCTTCCTCCTCCTTATCCAGTTCCTCTTCCACCTGTAACTCTTCCTCCTCCTTATCCTCTTCCTCCTGTAATTCCTCCAACTCCTCATCCAGTTCCTCTTCCTCCTGTAACTTCTCCTCCTCCTCCAGTTCCTCTTCCTCCTGTAACTCCTCCAATTCCTCCTCCTCCAGTTCCTCTTCCTCCTGTAACTCCTCCTCCTCCTCTTCTCCAGTTCCTCTTCCTCCTGTAACTCCTCCAACCCCTCCTCCGTCAGTTCCTCTTCCTCCTGTAACTCCTCCAGATTCTCTTCCTCCTGTAACTCCTCCTCCTCCTTCTACAGTTCCTCTTCCTCCTGTAACTCCTCCAATTCCCCTTCCTCCTGTAACTTCTCCACCTCCTCGAGTTCCTCTTCCTCCTGTAACTCTTCTTCCTCCTCCTTATCCTCTTCCTCCTGTAACTCCTCCAACTCCTCCTCCGTCAGTTCCTCTTCCTCCTGTAACTCCTCCTTCAGATCCTCTTCCTCCTGTAACTCCTCCTCCTCCTCCTACAGTTCCTCTTCCTCCTGTAACTCCTCCAACTCCTCCTCCTCCTTCTCCAGTTCCCCTTCCTCCTGTAACTTCTCCACCTCCTCCAGTTCCTCTTCCTCCTGTAACTCTTCCTCCTCCTCCTTATCCTCTTCCTGTAACTCCTCCAACTCCTCCTCTTCCTTCTCCAGTTCCTCTTCCTCCTGTAACTCCTCCTCCTCTTCCAGCTCCCCTTCCTCCTGTAACTTCTCCTCTTCCTCCTGTAACTAACTCTTCCTCCTCCTCCTCCTTATCCTCTTCCTCCTGTAACTCCTCCAACTCCTCCTCCTCCAGTTCCTTTTCCTCCTGTAACTCCTCCTCCTCCTCCAGTTCTTCGTCCTCTCCTAAATCATCCTCCTCCTCCTGCTCCTCTTCCTTCTGTAACTCCTCCTCCTCAGGCTCCTCTTCCTCCTGTAACTTCTCCTCCTCCTCCTCCAGCTCCTCTTCCTCCTGTAACTCCTCCTCTTTCTTCTCTTACTCCTCCAAGTCATTCTTTTTTCCTCTTATTTTCTAAGTTTTCTGCATTTTAAAATACAATTATTTTTTGATTTGTCTTTTTATGATTTAATTGTAAATGTTTAGAAAACTCTTCCTAGAGTATACAGGGAGGAGAACACATATATTTATTTGTTTTGATAGCTAAAAATATTTCTGAAAGGATACATGGGAAACTGGTGACATTACTTGCTTATTATTTATTTATTTATTTATTTATTTATTTATTTTGAGACGGAGTCTTGCTCTGTCCCCCAGGCTGGAGTGCAGTGGCGCAATCTCGGCTCACTGCAGCCTCTGCCTCCCAGGTTCACGCCATTCTCCTGCCTCAGCCTCCCAAGTAGCTGGGACTATAGGCGCCCGCCACTACGCCCGGCTAATTTTTTGTATTCTTTAGTAGAGATGGAGTTTCACCGTGTTAACCAGGATGGTCTCGATCTCCTGACCTCGTAATCCGCCCGCCTCGGCCTCCTAAAGTGCTGGGATTACAGGTGTGAGCCACCACGCCTGGCCTTATTTATTTATTTTTTGAGATGCAGTCTCTCTCTGTTGCCAGGCTGGAGTGCAGTGGCGTGATCTCGGCTCACTGCAACCTCTGACTCCCTGCTTCAAGCAATTCTCCTGCCTCAGCCTCCCGAGTAGCTGGGATTACAGGCACGTGCCACCGTGCCCAGCTGATTTTTGTATTTTTAATAGAGACGGGGTTTCACCATGTTGGCCAGGTTCGTCTCTATCTCCTGACCTCGTGATCCACCTGCCTCGACCTCCCAAAGTGCTGAGATGACAGGCGTGAGCCACTGCGCCCGGCCATTACTTGCTTTTAAGGAGAGATATGGGGTGGCTGGGAGGGTCAGGGGTGGAAGGCGGGTCTTGCACTTTTGTACCTTGTGAATTTGGAACTATGTGATTAATATTCCCTGAAAGTAGAGATGTAGAAAACACACAAAAGCATAAAAAAAGTCCAAAAACATCAGTTTAGTAAGAATAAGTGTAAGAGATAATAGTTACCTTGTTTTAGGAAGAAAAAGAAGAGAGAATTCAATCCGCTTAAAGCCTAGGGGCTTCCAGTCTCTTTCATTGTTTGCATTTCGTTCATAGGAATTTGTGACCTATTTCTGAGTGTACAAAGCCTTTGTTGCATAATTACGTTCAAGAAGCATAAGCTTATTTGTTAGAAATCTTATTCAATTCTAGTTGAGGGGGAGGTTTTCTTATGATATATTTTTATAAATCATGGTAGGGAGACCTGAACAAATGGGATCTTTCCTAGTGTTTACTTAAGGAATGGAGACCTTGCTCTCTTGCCTGTTGCTTCCTAGCTAAACAGGAAATCTGACCTCCTCTTGAGTCAAAACAGAATTAGGCTAAGACTTCTAATAATGTTTTCAAGGTGGGGAAAGGAAACTCATTGTCCATGCAACCTTGGAAAATTGCTTACCTTTACTTTACCTCAATTTCTTAATCTATAAATAAGGATGTTAACACCTACTTTATAAAATTGAAGAATTAGAGATGGTATTGTATAAATCAGTATTACATAAGCACAGAACCTGACACCTCATGTAGTTCCTTAAATTTTATTATTATATTATTGGTTATTATTATTATTATTATTGGTTAGTATCTGTTCATTTTAGGCCCCTTGAAGGAGTAAACACTATGAAATTGTTTTTCATTGAGAATGAATGAAAATGAATGATAGTTGTTTAGGGGAAGAAGGAGTAGTATATCAGTTATCTGTTACTGTGTAACCAACTGCTATGAATATAGTGGCTTAAATAAAACAACAATGAAGTGTTATTTCTCATAATTCTGTGGTTTGGCTTGGTGGCTTTTCTGCTTATTTCCTTACACTTACTGGCATCACTGCAGTCGGATGACGACTGGAATGGGTAGATGGTCCCAGATGGTCTCACTCACATGTCTGGCAGTTGCTGCTGGCTGTTGGTCCGAGCATGTTGGTTCCCCACGTGGCCTTTCATGTCCAACAGGCTAGACCAGCTTCCTTACAGCATGGCCATCCCAGGGCAGCATTCTAAGAGGGCAAGTTCCATTGCTTGCATAGCAAGTCTCTGCTTGCTTTTGTAGTTGCTGATTTCTCAGGGTTAAGCCCAGAGTCACCGCAGGAGGGAACTTGGACTCCACCTTGGTGAGGGAGGAGTAGCAAAGAATTTGTGCCCATTTTTAATACACCATCAGCCTGGTGCTTATTTGGTCTGCTTCTTGGACTAATATTAGGTCTGGAAGAAATCCTTTTGGTTTCTTAAGTTTTCCCGTGTCGTTTCCCGTGTCGTTGATAGCCTTCTTTCATCCAACATAAGAGATGATAAAGGAACTGGAAGTATCATATTTGTACTAAAAATTGGAATGAAGGATAATAGCTGCTTTTGAAGCTCTTTCCTGTGAAGCAGGGACTAGTTCCAGCATTTGGAAGTGACTGGAAAGCAGATCTGTCCACAATATAAGGAAGGATTGCTCTGTGAGATACTAAGTCCTGTTGAATGCTGTCCCTCCCTCACTCTTCTGTGTTGTTGGAAGCAGTAAAGTAGAAGATGGATAGTTATGTGCTGGGGCTTTGAAGGAGGGTTTTCCTCACTGAGTGACTTGATGTATGTGATTCCATACCTCAGAAAGAATCTCAATGTTTTTATGTTGAGATGAGGGGTGGGGATGGGGTGGTATTAGAAAGGGAGAGAATTGCTGTGTTCAGACTGTGAGTTATTCTACTGAGAATTTTAATTTTACTTTATTTAGAAAACAAAGATATATTTTCTGGAAACTTTGAAAGTTGGGACTTACTATTGGTGTGAAAAAAACTTCAATTTGGCACAGTATCAGGGTGGTACTAAATCTTGAAGATAGGTTTCCTATGGGTCTTCTTGGTTTAAAATGAAAGGAATTAAGTAATGGTTTTAGAATAAGTAAGAAATAAATGTGTACAATGCTCCAGCAGCTGTAGGTTAACGAGAGAGCTTATGCAATTTGTGTAGTTAAAACAGTTTTGGGTACTTTTCCCGTATCATGTACTTTGCCCTACTCAAACATGATTTTGCGATCTCCTAATTTTAATATCAAAACACTAGGCCCAAATGGTGCTATTGTTAGCCGAGAATACTGTGTCAATAACTGATCAGAATATGAGCCTGTTGCCTTTCTCTTTTTTTATTGAGACAGAGTCTTGCTGTGTCACCCAGGGTGGAATGCAGTTTCACTGTGTCGGCTTACTGCAACCTCTGTCTCCTGGGTTCAAGCAATACTCCTGCCTCAGCCTCCTGAGTATCTGGGATTACAGGTGTCTACCACCACGCCCGGCTAGTTTTTATATTTTTAGTAGAGATGGGATTTCACCATGTTGACCAGGCTGGTCTTGAACTCCTGACCTGCCTTGGCCTCCCAAAGTGCTGGGATTACAGGTGTGAGCCACCGTGCCCAGCCGTTTTTTTTTTTTGAGACGGAGTTGTGCTCTGTCACCCAGGCTAGAATATAATGGCGCGATCTTGGCTTACTGCAAGCTCTGCCTCCTGGGTTCAAGCAATTCTCCTGCCTCAGCCTCCTGAGTAGCTGGGACTACAGGCACTGCCACCATGCCCAGCTGATTTTTGTATTTTTAGTAGAGACGGGATTTCACCATGTTGGTCAGGCTGGTCTCGAACTCCTGACCTCAAATGATCTGCCTGCCCCGGCCTCCCAAAGTGTTGGGATTACAGGCGTGAGCCACTACGCCCACCTCCTTTCTCTTTTTGTGTCTTTCTTTTCTTTGTTGTAGGGAGGAGGAGGTGGAGGCTACCACTTACTCCATTGTAAAGTAGTGTGATGTAGGTGCTGCCCTTGACTTTGTTTAATGTGACCGAGCCAGCCACTTTCGTCAACAGTGTTTTCTGTGGAGCCTTCCTCATTTCCCATACTCGGTTTTTTTTTTTTTTTAGAAGACTGAGAGTAAGGCAATAAGCTCCAGTACCTACAGTGATTCAGACACAGAGTGGTGTTAGATTTCTGGTGGGAAATAGAATTGAAGTTACAAATAAATACTCTAGCTAAAGCAGAAGATTGCTTTCCTGACTGGTGCATTTACAAGCTGGGAAATTGTGGAAAACATCGACCCGCCAACTGTGTGGCTCATTGGCTCTTCTTTGGGCTTCGATGTTCTTCCTGATAAAAATAATAATTATGTTATTCCGATATGGTTGCCAAGCCATTCGTGCTTCTCACTCTGCTTGTGACTATAAATGATTCTGCAGCATGAATTGCTTTGTCTTTGATTTAATGTTTCGTAACATTTGAGTGTTGTGTTATCTGTGCTAATTTGTCGTTCTCTTCTCTTACTTTTCAGAATGGACTGCTGAATTATGAAGTATTTCAGACCCAATAGTAGAACATCACTCTGCCACTCACTCCTTTATCTCCTACTAGTTATTTAAATTGGACTTTTAATATCCTACCAGCTGCTCTTCAGACACACATGGTGCATTGTTGCCATTCCCCAGATTGCATCTTTGAAACACAGGCTCTTAGTAACCTTCAGCGAACAAAGAGGCAACCTCCCAGATACGTCTGCTGGGAGGGAGTCATCCTGACTGCCCTCTAGCTTTTGCTGGATCTGGATTTGAATTCCACTATGGAGCCTCGCATGGAGTCCTGCCTGGCGCAGGTGTTGCAGAAGGATGTGGGGAAACGATTGCAGGTTGGCCAAGAACTGATAGACTATTTCTCAGACAAACAGAAGTCTGCTGACCTTGAGCATGACCAGACCATGTTAGATAAACTTGTGGATGGACTTGCTACCTCTTGGGTGAACTCTAGCAATTACAAGGTAAGCTGTGCTTTAGAAGGCACTTTTGGAGGTGGCTGGGCTGCATTGGTAGATCAAAATTGACCCTTATAAAAATGCCTTGTGAGCAGTCAGCATGCTTCCTTGGTTTCCAGTAAGATACTCAATCAGATTGTGGCCTTGGGTTGTTTCATTCTGGAGAAAGTAGAGTTTTCTTTGATACTCATTGAAGATCAAAAAATTCTTATCCTTTAGCACTTTGACAGAAGGTCAAGTGAACAGATAAGGGGAGGCTTTTTTTTGTTGGAAAGTTGGCAAGCATTTGTAGCCTTGAAGTTAATGTGTATATTGTGTTTTGCAGCAAATAGGTCCTGAGACCTTGGTGAGTTGCCCTTTATAAATAACAAATGTCTTCACTGATTTTCTCTGGGGGATTGAATTGGTAATAGGGTGTGGAGCATTTTACCTTCAGGTCACTGTTGTGAAGCTGGCCCAAGTACCTGGACAGAAATAGGTTGTCAAGGACTTTTCTGTGACCTGTGTGTAATGGCCTAGAGGATATCCTTCAGGATATAAAGGTCAAGGCTGTTCATGTGACCTTGGCAGGGGCTGGGGGTGGGGGCCAGGTCCCATGGGTCAAATGAGTTGTGAAGGTTGACCATTTTACCTTTCAGAGACAGTTTTTGTGAATGAAAACTAGATTGAACTTGAAGTGCTGAAGAGGTGGTGTTCCTCTCTCTGCTTCCTCCCCTATCCCCATCCCCTTACTCTCTCTTTTCATTTCCCTAGAGGGTGGCCCCTTTGGGTCAAGATTGAAATGGAAGGAAGAGTGGAAAGCTTGCACGACTGCTAATAGGTGCTATAGACATTGCTGAAGGGGCTTACAGAAATAGAATATTTTGTGCTGTTTCCATTGACTCAATCTTTTGAGATTGGTTTGGACTTAAAAAGTCACAGGACTCCTTTGCTGTGGTATGTACTCTGTTTTCTAAATATGTTACCTATGGCCCTAATACTTCACTTATCACTGGATATAACATTTATCCTACCTGTCTTCATATATTTATTTTCGAGACTGAGTCTTGCTCTGTCACCCAGGCTGGAGTGCAGTGGCTCTATCTCGGCTGACTGCAACCTCCACCTCCTGGGCTCAAGCAGTCCTCCCACTTCAGCCTCTCAAGTAGCTGGGACTACAGACGTGCACCCCCATGCCCAGCTAATTTTTGTATTTTTGTACAAACAAGGTTTTGCTGTGTTGCCCAGGCTGATCTTGAACTCCTGGCCTCAAGTAAGCCACCCGCCTCCTCGTCCCAAAGTGTTGGGATTACAGGCCTGTGCCACCGCACCCAGCCTATCCTACCTGTCTTAAAACTCTGGCTAAAATTCTATTTCATTCATCTGTTTATTCACTTAGCTGAAATTATCGGTTGCTTCTTAACGTGTTTTGCATTGGTGCTGGATGGTGGGAGTGTTAAAAGAGATGAGAGGTGATAGAGTCTAGTCACTACAATTTTGTTCTTTCTTAAAAGTTATTTGTAAAAATTGACAAATAATTTTACATACTCGTGGGATACCTAGTGATGTTTTGATGAATATAATTTGTAGTGATCAGGTCAGGTTAATTAGTATATCCATCATCTCAAACATTTATCATTTCTTTGTGTTGGGAACGTGTAATATCCTCCTTCTAGCTAATTGAAACTATATTACTGTTAACTCTAGTCATCCTGCAGTGGTATATAACACCAGAAGTTATTCCTCCTGTCTAGCTGTAATTTTGTATTCTTTAACAAATCTCTTCCTACTCCTCTCTTCCTCCTATCCTTCCCAGCCTCTGCTATCCTCTCTTCTGCTTTTGACGTATGCGATCAACTTTTATTTAGCTTCACATATGAGTGAGAACGTGTGGTGTTTAGCTTTCTGTTCCTGGCTTATTTCAGTTAACATAATGCCCTCTAGTTCCATCCATGTTGGCTGTGAAGGACAGGATTTTATTCTTTTTCATGGCTGAATAATACTCCATTAAATATATATACCATATTTTCTTTATCCATTCTCTGTTGTTGGACATGTAGGTTCATTCTTTGCTGTTGTGAATAGTGCTGCAGTGAACATGGGGGAGCAGATATCTCTTCCATATTCTGATTTCTTTTCATTTGGATAAATTCCCACTAGTGGGATTGCTGGATCCTATGGTAGTTCTGTTCATAGTTTTTTAAGGAACTTCCATACTGTTTTCCATAGTGGCTGTTCTAGTTTACTTTCCCACCAACAGTGGGAAAATGATAAATGCTGCATCCTCATCAGCATTTACTATTTTTTGTCTTTTTGATAATAGCCAACCTAACAGGGGTGAGATGATACCTCAGTGTGGTTTTGATTTGCATTTCCCTCATGATTAGTGATGTCGAACATTTTTTCATGTATTTGTTGGTCATTGGTATGTCTTTCTTTGAGAAATGTCTGTTCAGATTATTTGTCGATTTTTAAAATTGGATATATGTATTTTTTTCTGTTGAGATATTTGAGTTCCTTGTTTATTCTAGATATTAACCCCCGTCTGGCTGGTCCAATGGTAATGAGTTATCAGAATTTAACATAGTGTCACTAAAGTTGGTATATGACTCCCCACTGCTAAATTTGACTGGCTTCAAAAAAAAAAATCTCCTGTCAGAGGAGTAATTTGCAAATATCTTCTCCCATTCTGTAGCTTGTCTTTTTACCTTGTTGTTTCTTGGTTGCCCTGAAGCTTTTTAGTTTAATATAATCCCATTCGTTCATTTTTGGTTTTGTTTCTTGTGCTTTTGAGGTCTTATTTATAAAGTATTTTCCCAGACTAATGTCCTGAAACATTTCTTAAATGTTTTCATCTAGTAGTTTTATTGTTTTGAGTCTTACATTTAGGTCTTTGATCCATTTACACTTGATTTTGTATGGGGTGACAGATGGGGATCTAGTTTATTCTTCTGCATCTGGATATCCAGTTTCCCCAGTATCATTTATTGAAGAGACTGGCCTTTCCCCAGTGAGTGTTCTTGGTACCTTTGTCAAAAGTCAGTTGGCCGTAGATACCTGGATTAATTTCTGTGTTCCCTGTTTTGTTCCATTGGCCTATGTGTCTGTTTTTATGACAGTACCAGGTTGTTTTGGTTATTACAGCTTTGTAGTTTACTTTGAGGTCTGTTAGTGTGATGCCTCTAGCTTTGTTCTTTTTGCTCAGGATTGCTTTGGCTATTCAGGGTCTTTTGTGGTTCCATACAAATTTTGGGACTTTTTTTCTATTTCCGTGAAGAATGTCATTGATATTTTGGTAGAATGGCATTCAATCTGTAGATTGCTATTGTCATTTTAACTATATTAATTCCTCCAATCCATGAGCATGTGATGTCTTTCTATTTGTTTGTATCCTCTTCAGTTTCTTTTATCAGTGTTCTGTAGTTTTCCTTGTTGAGGTCTTTAATTTCCTTGGTTAAATTTATTCCTAGGTATTTTATTTTTGGTAGCTGTCATAAATGGAGTTGCCTCCTTCTTCTTCTCTTGTTTTTTGGAGATGAAGTCTTGTTCTTTTGCCCAGGCTGGAGTGCAGTGGCATAATCTCAGCTCACTGCAGCCTCCGCCTCCTGGGTTCAAGCGATTGTCCTGCCTCAGCTTCCCAAGTAGCTGGGACTGCAGGCGTGCACCCCCATGCCCAGCTAATTTTTGTATTTTTGTACAAACAAGGTTTTGCTGTGTTGCCCAGGCTGATCTTGAACTCCTGGCCTCAAGTAAGCCACCCGCCTCCTCGTCCCAAAGTGTTGGGATTACAGGCCTGTGCCACCGCACCCAGCCTATCCTACCTGTCTTAAAACTCTGGCTAAAATTCTATTTCATTCATCTGTTTATTCACTTAGCTGAAATTATCGGTTGCTTCTTAACGTGTTTTGCATTGGTGCTGGATGGTGGGAGTGTTAAAAGAGATGAGAGGTGATAGAGTCTAGTCACTACAATTTTGTTCTTTCTTAAAAGTTATTTGTAAAAATTGACAAATAATTTTACATACTCGTGGGATACCTAGTGATGTTTTGATGAATATAATTTGTAGTGATCAGGTCAGGTTAATTAGTATATCCATCATCTCAAACATTTATCATTTCTTTGTGTTGGGAACGTGTAATATCCTCCTTCTAGCTAATTGAAACTATATTACTGTTAACTCTAGTCATCCTGCAGTGGTATATAACACCAGAAGTTATTCCTCCTGTCTAGCTGTAATTTTGTATTCTTTAACAAATCTCTTCCTACTCCTCTCTTCCTCCTATCCTTCCCAGCCTCTGCTATCCTCTCTTCTGCTTTTGACGTATGCGATCAACTTTTATTTAGCTTCACATATGAGTGAGAACGTGTGGTGTTTAGCTTTCTGTTCCTGGCTTATTTCAGTTAACATAATGCCCTCTAGTTCCATCCATGTTGGCTGTGAAGGACAGGATTTTATTCTTTTTCATGGCTGAATAATACTCCATTAAATATATATACCATATTTTCTTTATCCATTCTCTGTTGTTGGACATGTAGGTTCATTCTTTGCTGTTGTGAATAGTGCTGCAGTGAACATGGGGGAGCAGATATCTCTTCCATATTCTGATTTCTTTTCATTTGGATAAATTCCCACTAGTGGGATTGCTGGATCCTATGGTAGTTCTGTTCATAGTTTTTTAAGGAACTTCCATACTGTTTTCCATAGTGGCTGTTCTAGTTTACTTTCCCACCAACAGTGGGAAAATGATAAATGCTGCATCCTCATCAGCATTTACTATTTTTTGTCTTTTTGATAATAGCCAACCTAACAGGGGTGAGATGATACCTCAGTGTGGTTTTGATTTGCATTTCCCTCATGATTAGTGATGTCGAACATTTTTTCATGTATTTGTTGGTCATTGGTATGTCTTTCTTTGAGAAATGTCTGTTCAGATTATTTGTCGATTTTTAAAATTGGATATATGTATTTTTTTCTGTTGAGATATTTGAGTTCCTTGTTTATTCTAGATATTAACCCCCGTCTGGCT